AATGAAGCACCTGGCACGCGCGCTCTACTTACGAGGAAATGGGATTCATCAATCTGAGAGAACAGCTGCGAACAATTCAGCGGCTTACGAGTGCGTTGATGAATCCCACGTGGGGACTTCTTAGAAATCTACTTAAGGACAACTTGAGAAGAAAGTTGAGTAGTTTCTTACGAAGTTATTCGTGAATGAGGCCCAATGTGACTTACAGGAGATGTCCTGGGGCATGATGGAAAATGTTGTCTGTCTCTACTCCTTTTGTCAATTTTGAAACAATCCAAAATCTGCAGGAGCAAAAGAATGGTTTGGGATTTCCATTCCATGTTTATGGGGAAGGAATTACCTAATGCACATTCAAAAATAATTGATGTATTTGTGTTGGGGCTGGGCTGACCCATGTATGTTTGCTCATGTTAATTCATAAAACACTATTGAATGCTTTTTGAGCCTTAAACTCCCCATAACATAACATTACATGGAATAAATTATGTTTATTATGTGTTCAGTCACTCACATTTTGACATTGAATCAATAGTGTTGCTGGCACAACCAGTGAAAATATGTTGTTTCAGCGTAAAAAAAGAGGTGCACTATATTTCAATGTGGCACCAAAATCCCACATGAACAGTTGGGGAATTTCACTTCTCCACAAGCAGAAAGAAGACCAACAAGAGCAACAAAAACTGCTCAGAGCACATTGTGTGGATTCTTAAAAACATAATCTTGATTGCTACAACATCATCTGCCTTGGTCACAGCGACCCAACCATTCACTCGATTGTCTCTTATGACATCTTAGGCTGGTCAAGGTCAGAAGAGAGGAGTTTCTTACACTTATTTGTGCATATGGCGCCCTTTGGTGCAGTGTGATGATCTTGGAGTTCTTACATTATTCTTATGGTCGCCATGAGTTTTTTTTATGCGTCTGTACAGTAATTCCATGTACAGTTACATTCAAAAGATGGCTGCACCAGGTTTAGCACCGTGCTACTTTCCAGCTGTAGTCCTTCACAATACAATCATAGTGGTAAAATTTGTGTCCATTTCATCTTTGAAATACCTTCAGTACATTTTCAACATATTTTAGAATACGTTTGAAAAAGGTTGTGTTAATTACATAAAGTTTTTTTTGTGAAATAAAATGTTAAATATGAAAATGATGTTAAATCAGTGTGTTGCTTCGAGTCCATTGCAATGGTCCCACACATGGCAAAAAAATATTTAGTTATGGAACCAAAAGCCACCTGCTTATTTTTCAATCATAGTGAGCTTTTAAATGGGGAAATTCTCCCTTTCTACACTTGCCTTGGGGCCCCAGATGGGAGTTGATACAACAATGAGCGTAAAATAATAAAATGAAATAGTAATCAAATCTTCTTTCATCAAGTATTTTGATGAACTGGAATAATGGTTAAACCTGTACAATGAACACTGCTGACACCTGTAAGCATAATGTCATAATAACAATCGCACTGCCATAGACGCTTTGTGCAATACGGCTTCTTTACTAATACTCTTTCTTAGCACAATATGCTTCCCTTTACATTTAAAACCTCAATAGTCAATTTGACTCAATTTACCTGTTGTCTTTGTTAAACTAATCCCTCGAGGTCGAGCCACCGGGCCATTATGAAGGTCATTATGTTGGGCGTCTCTGTGTCAGATGCTTGATTTGAAGAGGAGACTTCCTGAAATGAAGAATAATGTATTGATTCTATCCCTGTGTCACTTCTCCTGATGTCCAGGACAACAGAAGTAAAATAGAGTTCTCATTTTACCCCACTCTCCCTCCTTTTAGTCCAAGTAAAGAAAAATCAAACACTATATAGATAATAATTCCCTACTATGTACTACTATTAGTTTCCGATGGGCTGAAATATTATAAAGGTAAAATGAGATAGAGCTGGACTGATTGGCTGAAGTGATAGGTCATTGCTTTATTTTCTCTAATTGGTGCCTATCTAGCCTAATGACAATCCCGTTTATGCATTTTCCTGAATGCGGGTTAACATTGCTGCAACATTGTGAGGATTGCCTTGCCATGTTTTTTGATCAATGCATAATTAGCAATCACCTTCCAGCCTCACTTTGGATGATGAAATTTAACCCTGGAACTCCCTGAGCAGTCAATTTGACGGCTTTTAGTTTTGTATGTGTAATTACTGATCTCATTTGCATTCTTAGTCTTCATAAGGTCATGCCTTTTTCTGTATCTTTACGTAATTCATTTCTATCTCATTCTTTGGATTTCTGTTTTTTTACTTTTGAAATGTGAGTGGTTTTAACACGAACTAATTCTCCACCAGGGGATATCAAGTACTAGATACCATGGCAACACACTGTTTACTGTCAGAAATTAGCATTATCCTTTTTGTTGTATTTCAGTTATAATCACCAGTTTGTACACTTATTAACAGAAGTGCGTAAAGGTAAATGCCTTATACCTTATTTTCTAAATCTGATAAAAATAATAATACAACAAAAAACATTCTTTGGGGTGATTTCTCAAAATACCTTCGGTTTGAATGGGAGCAGTCGAAATGACGGTCAAAATGAGACTTCTTGTGTAGTTTCAGAATTTTGGGAGTCCAAGAGTTGATACTAATGCAATCCCTATTGAGTTAGTACTGTTGAATAATAAAAATAAAAAAAATACTGTAGGACACCGTTTCAAACTTTAAACACACGTCAAAGTTCTGTACGCGCGCGCTTCAGAGCAGTTTCTAGCACGCGCATACGAGGGGTTCAGGGAAAGTGGAAGATGCGGCTTTTGTTCATCTGCCCCTGAAGAATCTTTATCACCTCATGTGTCAGACAGTGGTGGCAGCCAGGGTCACTCTTTTAACAACACCGCCCTGCCTCATGTATATAGCGACATCTACAGAACGCACTGGCTTTTTACTGTACCTCCTGGCACGGACCATCTCCTCATGCCTCTCCGATCTTTCACTCTGCGCAAAACCACGCTGTGTGAAGTGCGTGCCTATGTGTGTGAGTGAGCGTGTGTGTGTGCGTGAGTGGGTCGTCTGCACTCCTAGAATAGAAAGGAAAAAAGAGGGAAGAAGAGGAGAGGCGGATCGCTGTGTCCTGCTCTCATTCAAGGGGAGAGCAAACATCATCTGGATATAGGAACCGCTTCACCACGCGCTTTTGCACTTCCTTCCATTCCCCTCCGCGGATTTGATGGACGTTTGATCATTGGATGTGATGCCCTTATACATAATCGATCGAAAATTCCCCGACACATCTGGTGAGTCGTTTTTGCACTGTACATTTCCATCTGCGATTTGCGGCGCGTCTGGTCTCAAGTCTGTGGCACTCGCTGTTTAGGAGCGTAATTTTTCTTTTTTCTGTTTTTTTATCTTTTCTTTTTTTGCGTGTGCGTGTGCGCGTCAGCCGGCTTCAAGACACATGGGCCACCGTGCACCAGTTGCTCAAGACCAATTATAGTTTGACATGCAACAGGGGATTGAATGCATGAGCGAATAAGGTGCGTCTGTGAGTAGTTAAGACAGAAATGAGCAAATTGTGATGTCAGATCCTCCAAATAATTGAGTAATATTCTTTGACGTGCTGATGACATGTTCAGGTTTATATAGTGAAGATTAAGCATGAAGAGTCAGTTTTGGACAGCTGCTTTTATAAAACAAAAAAGAGAGAAAAAAAAAAGTATTCCCTACAGAGGTTTGCCAGGCTGGCTGGTGCAACTGCTCTGCCTGGGAAGGTGATATTTTAAGTTAAACTAGGCCAGTCTTCAGAGTTTAATTTAGTTTCTTGGTTTATTCTGCCAACACGTTGACTAAACGAGTCAGGGATTTGGTGTTATTGCAATATTACTTAGGTGGATAGAGGAATAAAAATATGTTAATGTCTTCACAATGAGTCAGAGCAGCAACAGCCTCACCAGCCCAACAGCACAAATCTGAATGTTTGGAAAGGACACTGACTGACAAAGAAAACGCAATCATTGAAAAGACAGTTCTGCATCAGTTAAACAGATTTTTCTTTTTTATTGCATCCCTTTTCTGTCAGTATGGAGTCATTGTATTAGATGGAAATTCTCCCAACCATTTCCAAGTATCTGCAATAGCCATGCTTCTAGTTTCAATCTGGTGGTTCACATTTTGGTTTAAAATCTGTCAAAAATCACTAATTTCTAAAACATCATTTAACTACCATAAGACCTTTGATTAAGTTGGAGAGCCTCTGATCTACTTTCTTTCCCATTTTCAATGATTTTGATCATTTTGGTCCTGACAAGCACTCAACCCCACCTTTGACAAAACCCACTGAGGCACTCCCTTTCCTGCTCCATACTGATTCTGTACAATTTGCCTCAATCACAAAAGATTGGCCCATATAATGTGATACAGATAATTCATCCAGTCTTACGAATTAATCCCGGTAAATAGATTGTAAACAAACTGTTTGGGAGCTGATCCGGGGCTGTGTACAGAGCAAACAGTCTGTGTAAGAGATAGGAGATTAAGAAGGACATCAAGTCAGGCCTCTCTCCGATCGGAACATGTCTCACAGCGCTGAGCAGTAAGTCATTTAAAATGATTTAGAGCTTCTTACTATTCTGGTCTCATTCCTCCTGCACATTCTCGCTACTCTCCATCTTTGTGTCCTCTTCTTTCATTTTTCATATAACTTTACTGACAGAGCATCTGGGATTATAGTAAATAAATGTAATATACGATCACCAGTTGGTTTTACTGCAAAGGCCCTGTCATAAAAAGTTGGTGCAAGTAAAGTATCAACTTTCAGCGCATTCAAATAGTTCTTTGGCAGACAATTTTTCTATATAGTTGGGTATAGTGTTGTATTTGTGAAAGGAATACAACTTGGAAAATGTGTGCAGGATAATGGTTGTAGGATAAACAATGTGCTGTCCTGGACACAGATTGAATGAGAAAAGTGTAAGGGGGTGCAAAGTCTATGCCCCCCCTCCATCGCTGGGACCCTCCCATCTGCACAGCACCTCATGACACCAGCTTGTAAATGTGTGAGTGTGTGCGGCTAGTGCGCACCGTCGGAGGGGATTAAGGATTAATTGCCTTCAGAGATAGACTTAACTGCTTGTTACATGAACTTTGTAAAGTTTCCACTTGGCTCTGAGCAAGAAACAACAGTGGAGAGAAAAGGAGCCGAGCAGAGGGCATTCTGCTGTGTTTCTCATAAGTGTCAGAAGTGCAGTCACTACAGGGTAAGCAGTCACTCGCGGCTCTCCAACTTTCTATTGTCTTTTTCCACCTGCTCCTACTTAATATGGCTTACTACAATTGTTCAAAACTGTCTGATTTAACACATCCTTGATTCACAAAGGCTTTTCCCCAAATGTTGTCCTCAAATTGGAATCCAGGTTTCTTATGTGGCTTTGAAATATTCAACATGTCAACAAGAACAATAGGCAGAAAGTCCAATATATTTTGTTGCTTTAGTTGTTTTTGTGCAACATGTGAAGCTTTTCCCTTTTGCTCCTGCTGCTTTAGTTTTTTCCTTTGTGAAAGTGGGGAGTTGGGTGGCTAAAACATTACTGATTAGAAGATTCAGAGGTGCAAAAGTGCCATGCTGGTTGTTAGGGACCATAAACCTACAAACAAGTTAAATATTGACACATTTTAATGATAGTTTCAGATGACCTCGGTTCAAATCTTACTTTAATAAATATTTTGAGAAAGTAAGATAGAAGCCTCCTCACTTGCTGTGTGTCTCTGGCAGTGGGTGATGACTTTTGTGAATATTTTTATTTGTGTACTTGGAGGTTACATGGTACTAAAGAAAGTACCAGTGCTTTCGGTAACCTTGGTCTGTAAAAATGTGCTATATAATTAAATATTACTTAATTACTTACTTACTCTTGGACCACTTGAAGTCACTTCTTTCAGTTTCTTAGTATTTCTCTCATATTTTATTGTTCAAATGATCATGTTTTGTTTTCGTTTCTGCTTTGGACCTGTATGTATGTGTGTGTGTGTGTGTGTGTGTGTGTGTGTGTATATATATATATGTATTTATGTATGCATGTGTGTGTGTGTGTATGTATATATGTATTTATGTATGCGTGTGTGTGTGTGTGTATGTATATATGTATTTATGTATGCGCGTGTGTGTGTGTGTATGTGTGTGTGTGTATGTATATATGTATACGTGTGTGTATGTATATATGTATTTATGTATGTGTGTGTGTGTGTATGTGTGTGTGTGTACAGTATGTATATATGTATTTATGTATGCGTGTGTGTGTGTGTGTATGTATATATGTATTTATGTATGTGTGTGTGTGTATGTGTGTGTGTGTGTATGTATATATGTATTTATGTATGTGTGTGTGTATGTGTGTGTGTGTGTGTGTGTATGTATATGCATGTATGTATGTGGGTATGTGTGTGTGCGTGCATGTGTGTGTGTGTTTGTGTGCATCTGCTAGAATGTCCCGTCTTTCACAGTCACAAATATCTGCTATAAAACCAGTGCACATTTTCTTAGCATAATGTTTTGCTATTAAGTCGAGATCTGTGGAGATTTCGGAGAATATCTTTTCCACCCTTTCTGATTTACTGCGTTTTAATCAGTTAAAGATGATACTTAGAAAGACAGATGTATTGTGTGATAAAATCTTCGAAAGCTGACTGCTATCCTCCAGATGGATTTCCGAACATAAACAAGGAAAGTGAGATTAGTTCTGGCTTAAAGCAGAGCCCCAGATGTAAAACAAACTGTCAATACCTCGTTACGACCGACCCCTGTGTTCATTCCAGTGGTTTTACAGTGTTTGTCTTTTTCCACCGACCTCCACATCATCTGCCTTTCACTCAGGACACAACTCCCACTCCAAACAAACTCAATGCACACTTGTGTTGTGCCCCAGGTGAGTTCAAACAGCTGGCCACGGACAGAGCAGAGCTGAAGATGACCGAGAACAACCCCCCAAAACTGTCCAAGAAGCCGCGCTGGACGTCTCTGGAGATCGGACTCACCACTATCGCGGCACTGCTCTTCATCGTCATCGTCTCCCTCATCATCCTCTTTGCAACGCATAAGAATGGTGAGTGCTCATCTCAAGTGCCTTTCAAGTGAAGGTGATAAAAGTACTGGGCTTACCGCAACTACTTTCTCGATGACACAAAGAAAGAAAAAAAACCCGTAAAACTCTCACTTGAATTCATTTGAAAAGAAATAGTCACATCTGATACATACTGATGTTGTTAAGAAATGTAGGTCTAGTAACTGTTGACCACTGAGTATGAAGAAAGGAGCTGATAAGACCGGCATAACAATTCTTAAATACACTTTAAGTATTTTAATATATTCCCTTGACCTGCTCCAGCTGAGACTCAGGCAGGAGATACTATAATAAATCCTACACAAGACCTGAGCTCACTTTCAAAGCAGTGCAAACGTGCAGCCACGGAACCAGCCGGGAAAAATGCAAAGTGCAAAGGTCCTTTTGTGTTTTTCACGTTTATGACAGCATGTCCCTCAAAGTGTGGTTTTCACACCTCTTTGACTGGGGTTTAATATGAAAGAATGTGTACGGCTCCTCTAAATGTCACTGCTTATTATGACAAATGGATGTTTGAAAATGCGAGTCATAAAATCGAACAGAACTCCTCCAAAACCTCCTGCCACTCACCACAGGAAACACTTTTCACTCACATCTCGAAGCGTAAATCCTCCACCTACACAATAGTACACTGATTCAATTAGATTTACAAGCCTGACACATCAAGAAAGTCTGAACACTACTTTCTATTCATGCTTTGGATTATATGGTATTTTCCTAACGACTTTTCACATTATAGTTCAGTTTTGATATACACTTTACTTGAAAAGAACTTTGTAACTTTTGTGGTGCTCCAGTCTCCATTGAAATGGTATTGTTTGTGAATTTCCACTGTGGTGTTAAAGGTGTTTGTGATAAATATAAAAAAGACGTGGCCCAAAAGATCTCACCCTGTTTTATTTATTCTGTCTCTGAAACTTGGCACCTCCTCGTCTCCATGGAGATTGATGTCATATAACCGAGCACTAACTCAGTGGAGAATGAAGACCATACATCACATTACCCCTTTAAATTAAAGTATTTATACTGTAGTCCGAGAACCGATACATCTACAGTTGTATTTTCATCTAGTAAATAATGTATCTAATTGTTCGCTGCACTTTATGACCACACACCTTTTTTAATCAAGACTTGGATGATTAGTTTGTCAGTATTAAAAACTTAAAGTCGGGGTACATAACCCTCAAGCCCATAGTCACCTTTGATCAGATAATTCAGAGAAAAAAAAAAAACAAAAGAAGAGAACCACCATCACTCTCCCAAGAATGAAGCTTTTCATAAGGTAAAGACAGCATATGGGGTTGGATTTGTTACTGTTCTATACTATTCAAAACACTATAATCAAAGGCAACAATGAAATTCAATGTTCCCTCACATTTTGAATGGGTCTGAGCAGAGACGCCCTGAGCAGCCTCTTGGAGCACTGTAGGGCAGGGGTTGGACATCTTGGTCCACTGTCCGTGATCCGGCTGCAATCCTGTTTATTTAAGATTCATCAGCTTCAACAAATGATACTATTCATTATCATGGCGTGGTGCCAGTGTCTGTGAGTCCGGGACCTGCAAGTCAGAGAACGAGCAAGGTCTAGTCCGCTTCTGGTATGAATCTAGTGCAGGTAGAGAACTTTGGCCTCTGACTTTTTCTAGTCTGAAATCAACCTGCGATTTATTTTTTGAATACATATTGTTTGAGTTGAACAAACACACAAGAACTGGTCCAGCTTGAAAAAACTATGTGGAATATAACAATTTGTACTCAAAGAACATTAAATACTAAACTGAAATGGGTTATAATGGTGTCCCACATGGTAATGAGATCATGCACGCTTGCAGTAGAGAGCTCAAAATTAGCGATGCCAATAAATGTCAGGAGCCACTGATGGCGGGACAATGAGTGAGGGGGCTTCCACCTGCTAGCAACCAGGAACTATGGTATATTTTATTACCATTGTCGGTCAAGAACATTTGTTGGTGTTGATAATGCTAAAGACAATACAAGTACTGTATATACAGCATGTATGGCATGCATTACTATAACTAAAAAATGTATGCACGATGTACAGATGAATGTTATTTATGCATACATGTACTGGAGCAGCACAGGAAGAACATGCAAAGGTCAATGGGCCTCATTCACGAACGGTTCTTAGGAACAGATTTGTACGTAAATCCTACTTACGCGGTTTTTACGAAGAAAGTGGCATTCACGAATATTTCTCGTAACCAGAATTTCTCTTGGGCAAGTACAAATCCTACGAGTCCTCAGGAGCACTCGTACGCATTCAGTGCCGACATGTTCACACGCTGGGGTTGTCCTCTTTGGTGAAGTTGAATAAAAATACAACATTCCAGTGATATGTCCGTCATATCGATGTATGTATTTATTTATTTGTAGTAATCTTTATTAGTAATCTTTATTTATATACCGCCTTTTTCACTGCAGATCTGGCCTACTTTTTAATTCATTTTGAAATGAAATGTGCCAACGCTTTATCAAATACATTGGAAATCTTGCCGTGTATTAGTGACCCCTTCCTATTTATAGGGGGCATTTCTTTATCCACGGGCCACAGAACAACGGCATATATACTGCTGCTGCAGGAGGTTACTGGGTCCGCGCTGAGTCTCTGCGCTGGTCTTTCCTATGGATCTATACGGGTCTGCACTGGTCTCTCCCATGGATCTATACTGGTCTGCACTGGTCTCTCCCATATACGGGTCTGCACTGGTCTCTCTCTATACGGGTCCGTGCTGCATGCTCCTGGATCCATACGGGTCCGCGCTGGTCTCTCAAGTCTGGTCTATGCGGTCTCTCTTCGGTCCGCGCTGGTCTCTGCGCACCGGTCTCTCCAGTCAGGTCACTCCAGTCTATGCGGTCTCTCCTATAGGTCCGCGCTGGTTTCTGTGTGCTGGACACTCCAGTCTCTCCTCGGGTCTGCATTGGTCTCAGCGCTGGTCCGTGCTGGATCTCCTCCCAGGGTCCAAAATATTTTGAGATTAATCTCAAAACATTTTGAGATTCATCTTTAAAATAATACATAATATATTTTTAAATTAAGCTCATAACATTTTGAGATTAATCTCATCATATTCTTAGATTAATCTCATAATTTTGCTAGTTCGACTTTATTATCATAATATTTCAACTTTTAAGTCAACATTTTATAACTTTATTCTCAGTCTGGTAAAAGAAGAAAAAAGGGTGACTCTTTTGCTCCGTGTAACTCTTTGCTTTAGGCCTGTTGCTGTTTCCTCAGCCGTCTGCACACGGCCCTGCAGCCCCTTATATGGGCATTAGTGGGCGGTTACTTATGCTAAGTACCTATGCTAATGAAGCACCTGGCACGCGCGCTGTACTTACGAGGAAATGGGATTCATCAACCTGAGAGAACAGCTGCGAACAATTCAGCGGCTTACGAGTGCGTTGATGAATCCCACGTGGGGACTTCTTAGAAATCTACTTAAGGACAACTTGAGAAGAAAGTTGAGTAGTTTCTTACGAAGTTATTCGTGAATGAGGCCCAATGTTATTATCAGTGGTTACACATGGGAAAATGACTCCATTCTTCCACTGTGCTAATGTTTGCTGCGTCTGTCAGGGTTATTAACAGCCCCTAATGAGCTTGTGATTTTACTTGAGTGGGCCCACAAATATGGATGTCAAGTGCAGTCACACGCCATCAAAGGTGTTTCTCGCCGTTTACTCTGGGGCATGTGCCCACTCCGCCTTGTGTTTAATATACTCCTTAACACCTTAATTATTCTCGGAGATGGGAAGCAACACTTGGGACCTGGAAACAGAGTGTGAGCAAAAACAAAGGAAGGACTTGAGTGCTGCTAAAAACTCAAGACAATAATGCTTTATTTTGTGTCTCCTTTAGATGAGATATGCACCACAGCGGACTGCACACAATCAGGTAAGCCAGTGTTTGTATTTGTGTGCTTACATTGTCTCAGATTGAATGAGGGGCGGAATGGCAGGATTTGAATGCTGCCAATGCCCTGGGACTTGAGATGTGTTGAGGGAGTGGAACCAAAACACATCAATTGCAAATATGCCATAGCTGAATAAAAATAACCCCCATTGATGCATTGTGTGGGTGTTGTCCCGAATTTACAGTCACCTATTAAGATATCAAAACAGCTTGTCTTTAGAATCGGTTTGGTCGTCTGCCTTCGTCACTGTCACCTAAAATAATGTAACACAGTATTCTGGCTGTTGTTGGGGCATCTTTCAACTAAATATCTGTTCTCTTTTCACCATAATACTACAGCTGCATCTACATCTTCTGCGGTCACTCCCCAAGGATAACTTACAGGGTTTCTATTGTCAGTTGCTCTAAAAAAACAAGTGTTCTTCTAATTGGACAGACATTTCTTCCGCACTCCGTGAATTACCCCCACTGTATAGATCCCGTTAAATTCCCCAATGGAATATAGGCTACCCCTGGAATATTTAAATACACATATGCACGTCAGAAGACTACTTCATTAGTACTGTATAGTCAATTGGAGTTGACTTTCTGACAACATATGCCAATTAATTTCTGTTGCGTTTGGAAGGAGAGCTGTCCTAGTTCAATCAGATTTGACAGACAGCCTTGTCACAAGAGATCTCTTGGCTGCCTCATGTAATTTAATTGCACCCCTGAAAAGTTAACACACTTCCAGCAGAAATGCCTTGCACAGGCCAATTACTGCTTTTTTACACTTCCACTTGCTGCAAATGGCTGCGTATTTAGATCACTTAGCGTTGACCTTTTTGCGAAACACCTGGCAATCTTGCACTTATGGTCATGGTAGGATTTCTTCATATTGCCAATGGGTTGTGTACACACCTGACGTGACAACTTCTTCCCTCCGGCCGTTTCCTTTTCCTCAGGTGCAACAGCAAATACCTAATTTGAATTTGATCAAATTTGTCATGAGTATCAGACTATGCAACCGCACGTTATGTGGTTTTGGATAGCTGTATTCTCGTTCATATGTAAACCTCCTCCACAAGCGGGTTTACACGCAGTTTAAAGCTATATAGGATTAAATAAACAGCCTGAATCAACTGAAATCCCGAGACCTACCTGTGAAACCACAAAAGGGGACTATGTGTTAAAATCCATTTAATTAGGCCCGAGCCCCGAACGGGAAAAGGGCCTATTGTTTTTGCTCGAGATATGTCAAATTCTGCACTTTGAGCCTTAATTTCACCCCCTGAACATGCATGAAAAGTTGTAACATTTTGCCCAAACATCAGACCTGGTGAAAAATTTTATTTTTATGGGACTCAAAAAATGCCAGAACAGCGCCACCTACAACAGCCAATGGGAGTTTCAGAGGTCAAGTTTGTCGTAGAGCCATCATGGCTCCACCCTCCGACAAACAGGAGGCCCATAAATTTCACTGCAAAATGGAAAAATGATCCGCAATCATTTTCATACGTGTCGGTTGGAAATCTTCTCCTCCTCGGCCGTTTCACCGATTTGCCTCAAAATCGCTCCACATCATCTCAACACTTCAAAATGACTTTGGCGATTTTTCATCAGTGAAAGCTTGTTCGAACAGGGGAGCTGCAAAATGTGACCTTTATTTGGCTGTTTTGGACAATATTAAATTTGCTCCCGTTTGCACAAACAAAGTCTGATTTGCACAAAACTTGAATCCAATGTTCAACTCCAGGATTTAGGTCCTGGAAATATTTGAAATTGGCCCATTAGCGCCCCCTACAGATTGAGGCAACGTTTTTCTTCTATGGCTACAGCAACAAATCATCACACGGCGGCCCCACCTCCTTTGCGCGGTGCTGCGTGGTACGGTGTGGTGCGGCGTAGTGCGGGGCGTTGTGGAGCGGCGTGGTGCAGATCCACTTGGTGCGGGGTGGCGTGGTGCGGGGCGGCTTGACAGTAATAAATTTGCTCCCGTTTGCACATACAAAATCCGATTTGCGGGGCGGCGTGGTGCGGGGCGGCGTGGTGCGGGGCGGCCTGATGCATGGCGGCTTGGTGCGGGGCGGCCTGATGCATGGCGGCTTGGTGCGGGGCGGCTTGATGCGGGGCGACTTGTCGCGGTGCGGCTTGATGCGGGGCGACTTGTCGCGGTGCGGCTTGATGCGGGGCGGCGTGGTGCGGGGCGGCCTGATGCATGGCGGCTTGGTGCGGGGCGGCCTGATGCATGGCGGCTTGGTGCGGGGCGGCTTGATGCGGGGCGACTTGTCGCGGTGCGGCTTGATGCGGGGCGGCTTGGTGCGGGGTGGTGCGCGCGGTGCGGGGAGGGCCGTTTGACGCCGCTTGCAGTTTTAATTTTAATTTCTGTTTTGGTCTATGAATTGTTTTCTAGATTTTTTGGCTTCTGTCATATCTTTTGATGGGCTTATTCAGTGAAAAAGAGAGTTTGAGCCAGCACCCAGCCAATCAGTTCTTAGTAGATGATAAAGACAGAATGTTGTGGTCATAGTTGTTCACTAAATGTTCAGTATGCAGGACTCGTTCTGTTGGGACAAACACAATGTATTTATCAAACCTATAAGCTTGGTACTTCGGCTTCAAAATTGTGGAAGTCTAATTAACAGTCTGTTCTTGTTTTGTTCAAATAGCTTCACGGTTACTGGAGAACATGGATGCAACAGCGGACCCATGCGACAACTTCTACCAGTATGCCTGTGGTGGCTGGTTGAAGAAGAATATAATCCCAGAGAGCACTTCAAGATACAGCACCTTCGATATCTTGCGAGATGAGCTGGAGGTCATCCTGAAAGGCAAGACAATATCATAAATGAATGATTCTTTTATTGGTGGGGTAGAAGTGGCAGAGCTTCGGAGCCCAGTTTGCTCGTCTAATAAGACAGCATGACTCTCTCGATTTAGAATTTAAGAGGATGGTCCCCGTGTGGCTGGGGTCTATAGATATTCCAGATGGCACTGGAGTTCAGCTACAGCTCTGCCACATGAGCCAAGTTTGTCAACATAGCGATCGAGCTGTGAGTGGGCACTCAGCACATGGCAAGTGAAGATTATTGATTGAAATTTTATTCAGGGATGTACTTGATCTTGCACCATGGAGGCTGTACAACTAATTTAACATAAAAAAAACAGAATAACAAAACTGAAAGAAATGTTTGATTCTTCAATATAACAATGTGTCATATGGTGAGATGAGGGAATGACCCATAATGCAGGAATGCAAAAAAATAATGATTTAATAAAATAAATGTCCAGGTGAAAACAAAACTCAAAATCCAAAATACAGAACCAGGAACACAAAATCAGGAACAGGACGGAACAGAAGTAGACAATACAATGGACCAGCAACAAGAGGAGAGGAGCACAGGGTACATATAGACAGACACAGGTGAAACACATTAGGGCGGGGCAGACAATCAACACAGGGGAAACAGGACGTCAAAGTCAAACTAAAACCAAACCAGAGAACAGATGTCAAAATAAAACCAAAATCCAAAATCAAATCCACACCATGACACATTAGGGTGGGGCAGCCAGGGAACAGGACAGGAAGTAAAACTGAAAATCAAATATCCAAACCGAAGTACAAAATAACACAACATCCACACCATGACACAATGTTATCACCACGACATGTTTTCGACCTTGAAAAGTTTTGGTCGGAAGAGGGGGCAAAAATCAACAACTGCTGATAATGCATTCTTTTTCCTTTTCCCATCGTGCATATTTCCAAAGTTCACATTCATTTTAAACATGTTGGCCTGGGCTGTCCATACTTCACATGGACGGAAGCAAATTCTACATACAACGATCTGTTAGAATCAATAATATATTATGTTTTTCTCTTCGCTTGAGCTCCTCCTGTAACTTAATCTCACACAGTTTGCTTATCTCTGCACTTCCGCTGTTACGAAGTCAGCTCAGATTAGGGACAGAAGGTATTTTTTAGGCATGACACAGCGACTGATCCTCAACGCAAAAGCACGGCATGTTGAAAGTGCACTTTGTTTGCTGATTACTCACGCAGCAGCACTGAGAACGTTATCTGTAAAACTTTGGCACAGCTCCATATACCTCCATGTTCAATCTAAATAGACTGATGACATGCCCAATCAAAAAAACGTGAGCAGAATTTGATTTGATTGCCCCGACATTCACCATTAGATTTCCATTCTCGTCCATGGTTATTACACAAATTATGTCTTTACCCTGCACTGGTGGGATTGTAATTTAAAGGAATGGGTTTTTTCCTTTTTTTTTTTGTACCTCCACCCATATTTTTGTCCCAAAGGTCTTGACTGCTGTGGCCATAAAACTCACACATAGAAGCAAAAAAAAGAAAGTCAACATTGCTCAACCCAAGATCATTGTGGGTATTCTGTTACAGCTACTGCTTTTACGTACATAGCGAGTCTGTGTGCAAGTGTGTGGTATCGTTGACCACTGTTGATTTTGTGCTGCTTTGCCCTTCGGTGATATTTGCTACCTGTCGAGGAATTCAGACTTACTTTTGGAGGCATGTTGCTTTTGTTTGGTTCTCGGCTCAGACGATTTTTCAGAATTTCAACACTCAATTTTGTACTTTGCATTTTCTTTCACTATTTACCAACCATCACAGTCAGTCTTAACATAATGGGTATACGTTTTGTCCACAGGTCAGCACAAAAAGAAAAGTGATTTTGTTTGTGTTTTTTTTTTTTTTTTTTACAGTCTAATGTTTTTACATGTTTGATTGATTTGATGGTTTCATGGCAAATTTGGCACCTGAGCCCTAAATTGGATTAGCCTGCGCTCAATTGTATATGAGCTGGTTCAGGTTACAAGTTTACACTGGAATTTTCTCTACCTTTTTGGAAATGCAGATTGCTGACCAGGCGAGTCAACTTAAGCCAGTAGGTTGCAGGTTTGATTACTGGGCGGGCCTGCTTGTAAATTTCTTCCAATACCTGAGTAATTTCCTCAAA